TATATGGTTTCAAGAAATCTGAGTCTTCATTGTTTGAAGTTCATGTTTAACATTTATAAATCCTTTGCCATCATACATATTTATATTGTTTGTTATTAAACCATTAGGAAAAGTAGGAGGATAAATTTTTGTTCAACTAAAGGTGTACCGTCTCTTCCCGTTTTTGTTACTTCTTCAATGTATGCATTAATTTCTTTAATCCTGATTGTTTGAAATTCTTCATGCACGTGCTCTTTATCAGCTTTTCCATTAACCGCAGCATTTACTTCCGACTTCTTTGCATAATTTTCATCTACATAAGTTTTGTCTGCTTTCTTATCTAACATTGTTGGTAGTTCATATGCTTCAAAGTTTCTGGCATGATCTTCGATATTCCTGCAACTGTTATCTAAATTGTTAAGAGTATCTTTTACGCTTGTACTCGGATTCTCTAAAGGTGCATTTGAACCCAAATCATAGTTCAATATTATGTCGTCTGCTCTAACAGTAGTGAAGGATTTATGTGTATGGTTCTTGTCGGCTTTCTTATCATATAAATCTTGAGCAGTGAATTTAACATTATTTTCATCATCCATGACATAAACATTTTTACAGCTAATTTCTTTCTTCGTTGTTATTTTTTCATTCGATGTTAAACCTTGTGGAAAGTTAGGAGGTTTATAATATAATGCATCCCCACCAGTTCCACCAACCGTTCCTTCAATACTTTCTATAGCAACAGTTGAGAAGGAGTTATGTGTATGTTCTTTATCTGCTTTCTTATCTAACATTGCTGGTAGTTATATGTTTCAAAGTTTCTGACATGACCTTCAATGTTCATACATTTACTATTTAAGGAGTTTAGATTATTTTTACGCTTGTACTTGGATTCTCTAAAGGTGCACTTGAACCAAGGGTATAGTTCAATATTATGTCGTCTGCTCTAACAGTAGTGAAGGATTCATGTGTATGGTTCTTGTCAGCTTTACTATTTAATGTAGCTTGAAGTTCATTTATATCGGAGATATTGTGTTTATGAGATTTCAAAACTTTGTTCGTTGCGTCAAGTTCATCTTTGTCAGCTTTACTTTTAATAGCATCTTCAAAAGTTATTTTTGCCTTAACTCTCAAAGTAAATCTTGGTTCAACTAATACACCGTTAACAAAGAAGTATGAAGCATAAATTTCATTGTTATAACCAAATGCTTCTGGTGCTTTACCTGTGTCATACTGTACAGTACAGCGTATGTCATAACCTTCAGCACGAATGTATTTATATCTTCTTCATTAACATCTTCAGTGCTTATTTGTTCATCTGTGTTAAATATCCATGGTAGTCCGTTATAATCTGTTCGTCTGAACTTATATAATGAACATGGTTTTTATCTGCTTTTTCGGCTAATTTCTCTCTATCTCATTTATTTCAAGTTCATGCCTACCACCACCTCCTTCAGAAGTATTTTTTCTTCAGCTCTTGAAGAACGTCCACTTCGCCATCTTTGGTGTCAATAATGAGACTTTGAGTTAAAACTTTCCTGTCTTAATGGATGTTTGTAAAACTTCTTCTTCACCGTGTTCGGGGTCATGGTCGTCATCATATCTTGCGAAATTAGAGATGTTGTCATACATTAAGCATATCTGTCTCAAAAGTTCTGCTATTTGAAACTGGAACGAAAGATATACAGAACTTTCATCATCTCCTAAAGTCAAGTCTGCTTTCTTAAGTATTTCTTGAATGTATGCAATGAGAACAGAGTACCTTGGAAAATATTCGAACAATATTTCATTAGCTGTTGGTTTTGGTGGTTCTTCTGGAGTTTCTGTTGTTTCAGTTCCTTCTGTAGGTTCTGTTGGAGTTTCTGCATCTCTTGACTTCAATGCTCTTGCTCTCAAAGACCTAAATGTTAGAGCACCAGGTTTTACAAAGGACTTTATAAATGCTTTAATAGTTCCTGGTAAGTTATTGTTAGCATTAAGTAAGTTCCTTATGCTTCCATCATGTACGTCCATAGCACTATGTAAAAAATCTATACTTTTCTTGTAGTCAGCAATAGACTGACTGTGATTTTTTAAAGATTTGTCAATACCTTTAAGCCAATCTTCATGCATGTCTGATACTGAGCCAAGAATATCATTTGCTTCCTTTAGTGTATTTTGTGCTTCTCGTAAAGTATCCAATCCCGTACGTGCATTGTTTGCTATACGTCTTACAGTATCTATTTGACTCCTTGTTTCTTGCATCCAACCAGATAAAGTTTTAATAGTATCCGAACCATTTGAAATGAAGTTCAAAGCATTTTTAACGTCATCTAAAACTTCTTCACCAAGTACTGCCCATATCTTTCCGATTTGGTATTGAAGAACTCCATATGAAGCAGCTGTTAAACCAGTATTTATAAGGTTCCATATCCATGATTTAGCAGTTTTTCCATCCTTTCCATCTTCACCATCCAAACCGTTTTCGCCTTGAGGTCCTTGTATTCCTTGTATTCCTTGTGTCCTTGTGGTCCTTGAGTCCGTGTCACCCTTCTCTCCTTTCAGTTCATCTTTATGTTCGTTATAATATTCTAATGTCATAAGGTGTACATCATTACTGCTACCAGCAACGCCGAGAATTTGTTTCTCATTCATGACTAAATTCTTTAGGCATTTAATGTTGTCGTCAAATCGAAAGCTCTTTAACAATTCAATGAGAACATTTAATACTTTCACTAATGAGGCATCTACTGTAGAATTTATATATTGCACCGTTCCATCATTTATGATAGGAACTTTACTTGTTGTAATGAATGGGTCATAAGTGTTAAAAGTATCGAAATCAATGACTTTTTTAGTTTTTCCATCGTCAATGACTAAAATTGCCTTCCAATGTTAAAGTTGAGTTTTCGTTTACTAGTTCATGTGCTCTTCTTGCTTCATTTGTTTCATACGCATATGCAGCAATAGTCATATTTTAATGAGAATAAAATGTTGTTCTATTTGCAAAGTACAGACCCAAACGAATACGGGACAGTAAAGCTACAAACAAACTTAGGTCTTCAGAATGAAGCGCTTGCTTTCAGAGTTGTTGACTTCAATACTATCGCAACTTTTGTCATAACAGATGAAACAGATTTCATAGAGATTGAAATAGATGACAAAAGAAGTGTTATAACATTTCCTAACAGAGCTGGGTATAGAATAGATAAAATTGCTGGAGTCATAGATACTCTCATAAATGAAGAAACTATTGACAACATAGATGTCGAACTCTCTTCTGAGGGAACATTGAAGTTCAGTTATGCGAAAAGTTTAAGATAACACGAATGAGTCATAGAGTTCAATTGCTTCTGGGAGCATACCATATGACATTTCCTTTGAAAAGTGTTGACAAAACGATTGAGATGAAATCTGTTCCATACGTATGTTATGGCAATTGTTTGTACATTGAGTCTAAAATAGCTAATGTCACAGGTATTTCAGGAGTTAATAGTAAAGGTTCAGTAGAATATAAGTCTTTCTGTTATGCAGTCAATTCAATGTTCATTCCAAACGTTCCTGTCATAGCAACTCATTTAGGTAAATGGGTTCGCATTAGTCCTCATAATTTGAAAGACATGCAATTCAGACTTGTTGACTTTCAAGGAGAGCCTGTAGAACTGAAGGCACCAGTGCGAATGACTGTTGAAGTTGACTTTTTAGAAAATATTAAATGCACAGCTTACAAGAGAACTCAGAGCTAAAAATATAAAGTATGAATGTTATGTATTAGGTCATGAACTTTGGTTGTTGCTGTTTGATGAAACAAATGAGTTAGTTATGTCAGTCAAGAGAACAGAAAAATATTGTGTTAGTGAAAACTGCACCAAGTCAATAAGATTAGGTTTGCATTATAAAGATGAGTTCGATACTGTTGAAGAAGTTTTGGACAGATATTACAAATTGCTAACTTGAAATTTTTTGACTGACGGCGCAAAGCGCCAAGACCGAAGGTCCTGACTGCTTTAATTTACTAAAACATATTTCAAGCAAAGTTTATATTCTGTTGAAAGTTTTGTATATTCATTCGAATATTTATACTTAAACTCAACTCCTGTAGTTCCTGGTGTTTCAATGATGCGGATGTTACCTATTTTCATGAATATTGGGGTTTGACCACAGCATTCGATTTCAGGGTCGAGATAGTCAATGACACATTGTTTCCCTGTTATTCGTGAGATAACATTTTCAAGGTCCTCCTTTGTTAGAATTATTTGGTTCTTGCTTATAAGATTTACCAAAAGCTTCTTATCGTCTTTGAGTAAAGTTGTTTGATATAACTGAAGAAGGTAATGGTCTACGTTATCTGAAGGATTTGTTTGAACATTTGTGTAAGGGTTGTCGTTGGCTTCTCTTGAAAGAATTTGGTCCAGTGGTGGATACTCTAACTTAACATCTGATGTAGCGTTAGCGTTTGAAGCTGTGTTTAAATTCACCGACTTAAGTTCTGGTTCTTTTTCTTTCAAACACTCTGAACTATAGTTCTTTATGACAATATTGTTTGTCGTTCGTGAGTCAACATTTGATGTTGGTTCAATTGGAACATTAACGGCACCAGCTAAGATGGATTTGCTTCTCATTTCATATAGAATAAAAACCTTTTATATGTATGAAATGAACAATATACTCGACAAGGGTTTGAATGTAAAGCTAACGAATGAAAATATTGTTGAATTCACTGAGACAGGTGCTGTGTATAAAGATGTAGAACTACTGAACAAAAGAGCTAAGGGAAGAAGCAGGAACATGAACAAAGGGTGGAAGCCTATAAAAATTTATGTCAATGATGGCTCAGGAGGTTCAAACATAAAGTATGCAGAAAGTTATAGAGTTTATGCTCTCAAAGGTGAAAAGCCTTCATTTAAGAACAGCTATTCTAACGCATATCCTCAAAAGCTAACGGATAGGGAAGTGGATGATATGAATGACAGCAAAAATATTAACAGAAATGGCGACAGAGATGCATGGAATTTGTTTACCATCAGTCAATTGAAGGTTAAACTTTAAAACAATGTTGGTCGTTCCCATGGAATATTTTTGACTTTAATGGTATTAGTCATGATATGAATCTCAAGGTATGAACGAGGAGAGATGAGAGACTTATATGCTTCCCAAATTTCTTCAAAAGGTAATGTTATACCTGACTGTTTCCAAATGAGTTCAATATCATAACGTGAGAAACCTTGAAAGATAACGAAGTCAGTTATGAGACGTTTTATGTTTAAAGCTAAAAACCTCCATGTTTGCATAAGTATTGCTACAGTTAAGTGGTAATGTCTGACTTTAGTAATGATGTTAGCTAATGGTGAGTCTGGTTTTGACACTAAACCTTTACCAGCGAAATCATCACAAACTAATAAAGTGTTTGATGGATATTTTTTGAAGGGGTATTTTGAAAGTTTTGACAGAATGTAGTTTGTAAGTCGTTTCATATCGTAAACTCCTGAGTATTGACGTAAGTGGTGTTTGTCAATAATTCTTTCCATCTCCTCAGAAGTCTTTTGCATTCCTGACTGTATAAATTCAACGATGGCATAATATTTCCTCTTACGTCGAATGTAACGTTGAAGAAATTCAATGAGTTCACTGTCTGGAACTTTAACGACAGAGGCTTGAACTTTTGACATAAATGTTTTCGCTGTTGAGTCCATAGAGTCTGAAGTTGCTGATATAATGATTTGGTCATAGTAAGAGTCGTTTCCTAAACGCTCTGTTATGAGTATATGACGAATGAGGTTAAATGTCTTACCTGAACCCATCTTTCCACAATAGAAATAAACACCATTTGAACAGAACTCATAGTCCTTACTGAAAGGAAGAATGAGAGAACTGTTGAGCTTTTCACTGCTTTCATTCATGTCTTCATCTACGTCATGTATTAAATGCTTCATTTTATCTCCATTAAAAATGCAAGTCAGAAATATTCAGAACATAGCACCGAGTCTAACTGACAAGAGTATAAAGATATACTATGAACATGTTATGATGAAACCAACCAAAATTCAAGAAAGTCAGTATACTTATGAATATCCAAGACACTGGGTAGAGTATGTAGGAGGTGAGAAAGCTATTGAAATCAGACAGGTTCGAAGTATTCCAGCAGGAAGAACAATATTATTGAAGAACTTTAATGTTTTGAGATATAATGATGAAACAAAGAAGCAAGATAGTTTCCCTGTTGCTGTGTATGTGAACTTAGATACAGGAGATGACATGAAAGTTTTTAATACAAAGCTTCAAACGGTAGTGAGAGAACAACTGACTGCGGAAGGACATCCATTACCTTCAGAAGTTACCATAGCATATAATTTTGAAACAAACTCAATAGATTTTAAAGTCGTCTCTGCAAAGAAGTCAGGTTTTACATTTAATGAAGCAGATGTATATTCGAATGAAAACTTCAAAGCTATTGCATGGTTAGATAATGACGATTGCTTTAAGAAAATATTTAAATACAGTGACTCAACGATGTCAATAGATGACCTTCGTGGAATGTTACCATCGACGTTTACAGTAGAAGGTTCAGCAGGATTGCTTACAAGATTGTCAATTGGTGGTATTTGGTCTCGTGAGAACATTGTTATAAAATCCAGTATAAGTGAATTTGCTGAAGAATCTATATTATGTCTTTCAAACTACATGTATTCGCCGCCGAAGCATTATAGTATAACAAACTTTGTCAGTAAGTTTAACATAAGACTTGTCGAACCTTCTTCAATGAAAGATGTTGTGCTACCCAAAGACGGAAAGGATGGACTCATTATTGAGATGATTTTAATAGCATATTAAATGAGCTTGTTCTTGAAGGTCATTCATGATGAAATAACTGTTGTAGAAGATGTTAGCAATTGTTCAGACATTTTGAAGCGTATAGATGAGATAAGAAAGAAGTTAGATAGACCGCAAAGCGGTGAGGGCGAAGCCCGTGAGAACGTTTATGTTTCATTGACTTTCTCCAGTAACGAGAACTTTTATGAGATAATATTGAAGAGAGATGATTTTAATATGGTGTAAATGGTAGCTTGGGCAGCTTTAGGCGCAATGGGAACAAAAGCATTAGCATTTGGAGCAAAAGCACTTGGAGCTTATGACGCAGTAAATAAAATGAGTGGAGGAAGGGTTTCGAAGACATTAGATGCAAATAAAGGGAAGATTGGAGGCTGGGTTGCAAAGAAGTTAAGATTAAATAAAATAGGGCTCATAAATAAAGCATCCAATTTGGTTGCGACTGAGTCAGAAAATGCTTTAGGAAAGGACGATGAGTTTGCAAAACACGCAAAAGACTTTAATGACCAGATGAAAGGTGAAACAATGCATTTAAATAGATCGATGGAACTAAAGAAAATGTTTCTTCTCCACCAGCGGTTTATCCGTACGGACCTTATGGAATGTATGGAAACCCTTATGAACGACCATTTGACCCATTGACTGGTGGAAGTAATTGGTATCATTATGGACGAAGAAGAAAGACAGTCAAGTTGGAGACAGACGTGAAGAAAGCAACTAAAAAGAAACCAAGGAAGAGAGTTATAAAGCAATGAATTCAACAGGGTGAAAAACCGGGTGAAAAAAGAGGTGAGATTTCACCACTTCACCTAAATTTATTTTTGTGCTATGTTTTCATACGTGTGAGGGTGGTGATATCATTAATTTTTATATAAATGACGAAAACTATTGAGATAACAAACTACAACGGTCATGAGTTCAAGAATTTGTTCTTCGTTCCTCGTGAAAATACATTCTATCAGATACGAGGGAGAAAGGATAAAGTTAGTTTGAGCGTTTATGAAGGAATGAAGAATGGAAAGTTTATACAAGCATACGATACAAACGGTAAACGTGTTTCATTAGCTTTGTCAAAACTTACTAACATTTATTTTGACAGTGACTTTGACTCTGACGATTGGCGCGACAGCAGCGATACTGAAGAATATGAACTATTGTGTGAAGCACAGCAATGGGAAGAGTTGCAATACTTTTGTAAGTAAGAACGTTTATTTTTTACAGTAGTGAAGTCGTTTGTGAAAACGTTAGTGAGGTGAAGTGGTTGGTGGCTTTATAAATATTTAAGGTTAAGTTGGTGTTTGTGTTTGTGTTGTAAAATATACGTTAACGGTTTTGTAAAGTGTCAAATTCACATATAATGTGTAAGGAGGCGCGCAGTGCCTCAGTACACAATATATGTATACTAACTAACGCGACCCATATGAAAATACTATTGACTATGACAACAATGGGAACCCGACAGGTACTCACATTCGTGTTCGTAAAAATAGAAGAAAGTATACAAGAGAATATTATGAAGTTTTAGGCAAACATGGCAAAATGTACACACTGCAAGCAGAAGATAAAACTACTATTGTCAGACCTCGTTTCAAACTTGTCAAAGTTCAAGGTGGTATACTTTCAAAGACAGTTCCTAACAAATATAAGACAACTCCTGACGAATATGCTAAAGAAGTTGAAAATGACGACTAAGCAATTCTATATCATGCGTAAACTGTCATGTAAGGTGGCATGTATTCTTTACTTTGTCCCGTTGTTTGCGTATATCCTGAAACGAAATGTGTATGGTTTCCTTCTCCCTGAGTGTCATCCCAGTAACAATTTATAGCAAACTTAACGTCCTCTTTAACATCATATCCTTTACCTTTTGTCATTCCTGACCAATCCCAATATCTATGCTTATGCCAACCTGCTTGAGATGTACTTAAATCTATGTAATGACTGTGTGCAGGTAAATTTTCACCTGAAATCGTTTTACTTCCACCTGTTTCCTTTGAAGAGTTTGCACAATACAAAAACCTGTCGACTATTTGTTCCCATGCACCAACACCAAACATTACTTGAGGACCTCTTGCATCCATAGATGTATAAATAGAACCTACTGGGTTCATTAAATCAAACATATGAGATATTATAGGATTGTCTCTTTTGAACTTAAAATATAGTGCAACTATTTCAGGTTTCTTCTGGTTTGTGTCAGAATATTTTTTATAATATAATCTTATGTTTTCAGGGTAGGTAAAATCTTGACTATAATATTTATTTCTGTCATCTGTATAATAATATACTATTCTCGTTTTTTCTATTGCATTATATCTTTTATATCTATAATAATCTAAATATAATGTTAGCTTTTGTTCATCTACATGTGGTGTTCTGTCGTCATCTCCATAGTCATAATAATGTGGTGCTGGAGCTGGGTCGGGCAATGTCATATCTGCCATTTCATAAACTCTTAAATATTTCTTTTGTTCGTCTCCATATAAGTTTAAGTAGCAGTTGTTGTCTAATGGAACTTTAACTTGTGTACCATCATTCTTTTTATAGCTTACATACATTTCATTGTTATTTTTCGGAATGAGTTTATACCGTGTACCATTTTTTAAGGACTGTACCAACTGCCATCTAAAATATTTATTTTCTTCATTGACAGAAAAGTCACCAACAATAGTTTCAATATTTTTGTTCCTATCAAACTTTGGTATATTTCATTGACATATGTTTTATCTGCTTTATTTTCAAGGCTAACGTTTAAGTCTGTTATTTCAGAAGATGTATGTGTATGTCCAACGTCACTTTTCCTGTTTAAGGTTTCTTGTAAGTTTGTAATATCAGATATAGAATGTGTATGTTCAACGTCACTTTTCCTGTTTAAGGTTTCTTGTAAGTTTGTAATATCAGATATAGAATGTGTATGTTCAACGTCACTTTTCCTGTTTAAGGTTTCTTGTAAGTTTGTAATATCAGATATAGAATGTGTATGTTCAACGTCACTTTTCCTGTTTAAGGTTTCTTGTAAGTTTGTAATATCAGATATAGAATGTGTATGTTCAACGTCACTTTTCCTGTTTAAGGTTTCTTGTAAGTTTGTAATATCAGATATAGAATGTGTATGTTCAACGTCACTTTTCCTGTTTAAGGTTTCTTGTAAGTTTGTAATATCAGATATAGAATGTGTATGTTCAACGTCACTTTTCCTGTTTAAGGTTTCTTGTAAGTTTGTAATATCAGATATAGAATGTGTATGTTCAACGTCACTTTTCCTGTTTAAGGTTTCTTGTAAGTTTGTAATATCAGATATAGAATGTGTATGTTCAACGTCACTTTTCCTGTTTAAGGTTTCTTGTAAGTTTGTAATATCAGATATAGAATGTGTATGTTCAACGTCACTTTTCCTGTTTAAGGTTTCTTGTAAGTTTGTAATATCAGATATAGAATGTGTATGTTCAACGTCACTTTTCCTGTTTAAGGTTTCTTGTAAGTTTGTAATATCAGATATAGAATGTGTATGTTCAACGTCACTTTTCCTGTTTAAGGTTTCTTGTAAGTTTGTAATATCAGATATAGAATGTGTATGTTCAACGTCACTTTTCCTGTTTAAGGTTTCTTGTAAGTTTGTAATATCAGATATAGAATGTGTATGTTCAACGTCACTTTTCCTGTTTAAGGTTTCTTGTAAGTTTGTAATATCAGATATAGAATGTGTATGTTCAACGTCACTTTTCCTGTTTAAGGTTTCTTGTAAGTTTGTAATATCAGATATAGAATGTGTATGAGTCTTATCTGCTTTTGTCTCTAATGTTTCCTTAAGACTTGGTATTTGGTTAATATAATGTATATG